CCAATACAAATCAGAAGATCAAGAACATACACTGCTCAAGTGAGTGGCCTAATCTACAGATGCAACTAAGATATTCAGTCCAAAGAAGCTTCGGGTCTGGTTTCCAAATGCCTGTCCAAGCTTGCATGGAGTCTGACAGCGCAAAGCTGGCAGTCCAATTTGCAAAGTCTCCTGGGTCGCCTCCCTAATATAATTGATGCCACAGGCCTTGCATGGTCAAACACATAAACATCCCCAGACAACCCACAAAGCCAAGCATTCTCTCAAGGCCCTGGTGCGAGTTTAGGAGCAAAAGGTGGGGTGGATTTGGCATTCAGTCCCTGTGTGAGCTGACTGAAGTCCATCGGGGAGCAGAGCTGAAAAGGCTGCTGTGGCTGGTGCTATTCATGCCCTGCAAAATGTGTGATTGCAACACAGGGACATTTTGATGGATTAGAGGTTCGCTGGGGTTGAAAGGGCTCAGAGGGGGCATATACCTGGAGAATGCAAATAGTCTCCAGCCACATGGCTTGCAATTTAATGTATACATTGGAAATGCAGTTTGTTTTGCAAGGAGAGTTTGGCAGAGACATAGATTGGTCTCCAGCAGCCTTCCCAAATCTCAGGGACTGTATTGCCTGGTCTTCAGGGCAAGGGGAAGGAATCCCAAGACAAAAACACAGCCATTAAAATGACACACATCTCTGTGTTCCTGGCCCCTTGTTTCCTTCAGCTGCTTTGGAGTAGCTGCTGTAGATCGATTCCTGTTCAAAGCCAAAAAAAAAACTTTCTTTGGCTGGACTCCAGTTCTCACGTGTTGAATACAGAGGAGTTCAGAAGGAGCTGGTTAAGTGTGTCTGTAGGTGTGTTTTCCAGTTCAATGAACCCCAGAATCCCAGAGTGACAAGAGTCCCTCGGTGCAAGATGTCCAGCGAAAGCACCCCCAGCAGGGACCTATTTTTGAAGATTACATTACAGACAATGGATTACATTTCCAAAGAGCTCTCACTATCAAGAAGTTTCTTCTAATGTTCCATCAAAATCTACCCTTCTGTAACTTCAGACCATTAGACCTGGTCCTCTGCTCTGGGGCTGCTGACAGCAAACCTGCCCCTTCCTCTCTGGGGCAGCCCTTAAGATATTTTAAGAGCATGCCTTAACATCATGTCACCTTTCAGTCTCCTCTTCGTCAAGCTGACCATGCCTAGTTCCTTCAATCTTTCCTTGTATGTTTTGTTCTCCATACTTCTTACTGTCATCGTTGCCCTTCTCAGAAACTTTTCCAACTTGTTTATAGCCTTCTTAAAATGAAGTGCTCAGAACTGAACGTAGGACTCCAGATGAGGCCTGACCAGAGCAGAATACAGTGGGACTAGAGTTTCTACTAATACAGGCTAAACTATTATGTGCCTTGTTTGCTGCAGCACCACACTGCTGGCTCTTATTCAACTATGATCCACAACAATCCCAAGGTCCTTTTGCACGTAGCACAGCTGAGCCTTGTATCCCTTCTCCGTCCCGTACCTGTGCATTCAGATTCGCAACATCCTTTGTATTTGTGCATATCTCAGGGCTCATCCTTACAATAGAATATAGATTCTAAACAGAGCTTGGAAAAGTTACTTTTTTGCATTCTGCCCAGAATTCCCTAGTTTGCTTTCTAGAATCACCCCACAGTGCCATGCTTGTTGGGAGGTTGTACACAGTTGCGATCCAAAAAAAGGGTAACTTTTTCCATGCTCCAGTTATGGAGCTGCAAGCCTCCACTAAGTGTAACATCTGGGTGAACAGAAAGAGATGTAAATTAATACCAAATGTGTGCTTCCACCTCCTCTGCTCCCAACTCAGCATGGCCCATAAACATCTCCTCTTCAGAGCTTCAGTTCAGTGTGAACCATTTACCTTCCAACTTGCTTTCTGCAGCTAAATAAAGCAATTTTGGGCATAAATCATTCCCTATCTGAAGATATCTATCTTCAAAACAACACCGACACAAAACCCAGCCCCAACCCAAAGGGGCACCCCATGTTTACAAAGGCAAATGACAGGAACAATGAATCTTAGCTAATGGGCATGGGTATTTTGCTTCTCTTTGTTCCTTTCCATTCTGTCTGTTCAA